GTCAACGAAGCTTTTAGGTCATTACTTTGAAGAAGAACACTAGAGAAATAACAAATTATTTGTTGCTCTGAAGCTGCACTCTTTTTTTGTCTCAAGTAACTCCTCTATTACTTATTTTCAACTTCCTGCCTTTCTTCCAAAAAATTTTGACAAAAAGTAGGGATTTGGCTTACTTCCTCCAAAAATAGACATTGTTTATATCCAAATCTGAATGGACTTGTTATATTACAACCGATATGTTTTGTTTATCAAAGGATATAGTGTTACTCCATATGACTTGGATCGAGTAGCAGGTAGTTCTTTATATAACTTGGATTGGGTCTTGAGTTAAAGAGATATCTGGATTTAGTCAGTAGTTGGAAGGTATATATTAAAGATTGGCTATATAATTGAAATATAATTTTTATTTTAACTTGGCACAGGTTATAATAGTGTATTTTCTTTGTTCATAGCAACTTTCGGGTTGCTTGGCTGCTTCTTGATAGAAGTAGTACTTTATCTTGTTGGCCCTTTGGGCTTTTCTCTTTGTTTTTTTTTTTACATATTCTTTTCTCTCCTTTTTTTTTTGTTTATTTTGTTTTTTATTAGATATAGTTCTTTTTTGTTTCAATAATCAGTGGTTTTGTAGTTTAGTATAAAATCACTACTTTTTTTTGCTCTCAGTAAAGAAAGAAGAATTGAAGGGATTAGCTTTTGATGGGCTGACAAGGTCTATCCAACTTGTATACAAAATGGTGTAATGAGTCGCTAATAGGTACGTTTTATGCAGCTAGTAGATATTAAGTTTGCAATTTGAAAACTTAGTTTAGTTGGTATAGCTTACTGTTATTGATCAAATAAATAAAGTTGTATTGGAGCTTTGACAAGACTGTCAAAGAGTTAAAAAAAATATCAATATATAATATATAATAGTGTAGATAAACACTATAATGATAAATACTATAAGACAAATACTATGAGACAAACACTATGAGACAAAAATATAATTTGATTGGCTAGTTATAAAAAAGATTGTCTTTATGTATAAAATCTGATTTCCAAATTTAGGGTATCTACAGGTTCCGTGTCTTGAAATATAAATCTGTGTAATTGAATTACTTATTACAACCACTATAGCAACTATAGTGTATATATATTAACTCTATATATATTTCTTAATTCCAGAGCAAAGCGATAAGTTATATGCTAGTATATATAAGTTAAAACTATATTAAATGGCTATAATTTTATATTTAACCAAACTTGTTTAAAATACAAATATATGCCGCAATAATGCATTTTTGGTGCTAAACAAGTTTACTTAGACATATTTTATTAGTAATATTTTAAGCAATCAAGATTTTCTATATTTTTTTTTTGACTATCCAAGATTGGCTAAAAGGCATGTGGGCATATGTGGCGCTTTTTATTAAATTCTTATATATTAAATATTAATTAATATTACTAAGATATTTACAAATTTTCCTATTTACAAAACCCAAATAGGTGTTTAAACTTCGAGCTCAAATTTTTTTTTAAATTCAAGCATTAATGATTGAGGGAATTGATGCTTTTACATTATCTGCATTGCCCTATTTGGCATTTGTGTACTAATACCAAATTTTATATTTTGTGATTATGTAAATTCATATTGCTGTATTAAGGTGGTTTTGCTCACCAAAGTTTTTCACGGTAAAGATTTCCTCCAAAGAGGATAGAATACTTGGTTTTCGTCTTATATTAATTAATTTGTAAGCTTCTGTTCATATTTTCTTGCTAATTCTGCAATCCATTGCAAAGTGTTCAATTGTTTGTTGGTCATCTTCACACTATGGGCAGAAGCCTGATTCCTGAGCAGAGATATATTGAAGTCTATAACCTAGTAGTAAAGCTCTATGTGTGAGACACCAAAAAATATCTCTTTTCTTGTTATCAACTCCTTTAAGAAGTATCCAATTCGGTGCTAAGTTTGAAAACAGTAACTGATTAATTTTACCAGACATTAGGTCCCCTTTGAGTAGTTTAGTTATCTTTTTAACTGTAACTTCGTCTTCTTTAATTCTTCCTACAGAGAGGTTTTTAAGACTCCAAAGCCAATTTGTATAGAAGAAAACTCTTCTATTTGCTTTCTTCCATACAAGAAGGTAGGGTTTCTATTCTGAGGGCCAGGCTTTACTATATATTGGAGAGCAGGTTAAAGCTTGTCTGATTGAGATGTTTTATTGTCTATATAATATGTCTGTAATTCTTGTCCATTCGATCTTTGCCCAGAATGTATTTCCGGAAAGAGGTTTGAGCCAGACCATCAAAGCTCTTGCATCTAGCAGATTGCCTATAATTAGAGCTTGCAGCCCTCCTTGTTTATAAGACTGTTGGTAAGTGGAGTATTTAGAAAGCATTCTTGAATTGCCTTTTATTCAAAGTGTAATTAAACCATTTATTTCTGCAATCTGTTTTTTGTTTGAAGATAGAATATAGGCTATGTATCAAATACAAGAAAAGACTAGAGAGTTTGCGACCAAAATTTTTCCTTTAAAGGATAGATTTCTAAGAGCAAGATTGTTTAGTGTATCTTTGAGTTTGTTAATCGTGTGCTCATAAATTCTTTCTACATAGGCTATTTGAATAAACCTCATAACCTAGAAGAGTTATAGAGTTATCTTCTGTGATTTCAAATTGGTCAATATTCAGTAGATTCGCTCTCTTAGCTAGTGTGATTAAAGGAACCACTTTGGTTTTGTGTTTATTGACTTTTGTATTTGAGGCTTTTTCATATATGTTAAATAAATTTTGAACTTCTATCCAGTCTGAAAGAGAGCCGATTCCTATAGTTAAGTCGTTAGCATAGGCTACTGTTTTAAAGAAGAGGTTGTTTACTAGAATTCCCAGATCCTATTATTTATTGATTGAATTAGTGGCTCAAAAGCCAAGACATATAATAAAGGAAAGAGAGGGTCTCCTTGTCGAACTTCTCTTTCAACTCTGAATAGTTTCAAGAAAGAGCCCTTTTCGAAAATATGCTCTATCTGGTTTGCGAAGAGGTTTTTTATTAGATTTGTGAATTTTATTCAGAAGCCCATCTTTGAAAGAACTATTTGCAAGAATTTGTGATTAACTTGGTTAAAAGCTTTTTGTTGGTCCCCAGTATTGCTTTGAAATGTCTAATTGGTTTCTCATAGTTGTAAGAACATCAAGTGCAGCATCTGAGATTGATCTTTTCGTGATGAAACCTTGTTGATGTAATGGAATTAGTGTATTGCAGACTCTATTTAGTCTAGATGCAATGATCTTCATAAAGATTTTGGCATCACAGTTTACTAGGGAGATGGGTTTTCAGTTGTTTATGTTGCTTAAGTCTGAGGATTTCTTCGGAATGAGAGTAATTAGATTTTTGTGCCAGGAATTAGATAAGTTTCCAGAGTTCAAGACCTGGTTAAAGATAATTTCTAGAATTGGAGTTATATGTTCCTCTGTTAATTTGTAAAACTCATATATTAACCCATCAATGCCTGGAGATTTGTTATTTGGGAGATTTCTGATCATAGTTGTTATTTTCTCTTTTGAAATAGCTTGTGTAAGTTTGAAGTTTTCTTGTTGCGAGATTATAGGAAGTGTATCCATGATCGAAGCAGCTGCTTATAAGTCTATACCCTCATCTTTGTAGATTTCAGTATATTTTTCTTTTATATATTGTAGTGTTTGATCTTCTTTATTTTGTATATTAGCTTCCGGGATCTCAATTTCTTTCAAAGCAGAGTTATTGTTTCGGGTTTTGAATCGCAAGAAGAAGTATCTAGTAGATTTTTCTCCTTGTTCAATCTGCATAGTTGTTTGTTCGGGGTTTGCTGCTAAAGAGTTTTTAAGTTTGGTTATTTTTTTATTCAGGGTCATTATCTTACTTTTGGGAGCTTTGGGTTTTTTAAAGGCTCTTATAATTGATTAAATGCAAACTTTGTACTAGTTCCAGTCTGATGCTGAGTTGACAGATTTAATTTCTTCGATAACTTCTTTTGTTTTTAAAAGAGTCCTTATCAAATCTCTAACTGGAAGTTTTTTTTGCTTCATTTTCTAAAATGAGGATACATTTGACTAGCAGGTGATCTGAGTTTTCGTAGAGAGTTTTAGTTTTTTTGATTAAAAAATCAGTTCTCATCTATAAAAATATAGTTTAGATATGTAGCCATTAACTGGTTATTTCTTGTATTCTGATAGAATATAGGAAAAGGTTTTTTTTCTAAAAGAGATGCAGAGTCTAGGAAGTTGTTTAATAGCCTTTTAAGTTGTAACCTTGATGGGTTATTTTGTACATTGACTTGGCTTATTCTGTTTATGGTTGGGTCTAAATTTGTATTAAAATCTCCTGCAATAATGTTTATCTTGTCTTCGTCAAAAGGAGGAATTCAATTTTCAAAGAAGGCTGTCCTGTCTTTCATATTCAGTGGAGCATAAACATTTGTGATCTTGAAGAGATACTTTTTATATAAGATATCAGTTATAATAACTCTTCCTTCATAAGAGGTTTGAGGGTTTTGAAGTTTTAGATCCCTTCTGCTAGCTAGTATTGCAGTTTTGTCAGTCCAAATTAATTCGAATAGCCACTATAGTTTTAGTAGGTTATGGGTATTTTGGTTACTAAGATTTGTTTCTTGAATTACAATTATATCCAGTTTGTATGATTTAATTAATGTCAATATTTTTTGTTGTTTTTCACGGTCATTTAGCCCTTTTACGTTTAGTGTAGCTATGAAAATTTTGGGCTTTCTGTCATAGAATAAAAATGAGATTTGTTATTGTGAGGTGGCTCTGTGCCCACCTTTGCCCTTTTGGTATAGGGTAGATTCTATAATATCCTGATTCGATCTGCTTTTAGTGATTTTTCTATTATTTTTTTTTTATTAGATACTGTGATAAAGCCTTCATCATCTATATTAGGCAAAGTGTTTTCTTTCTCATTTGTATCAGACTTTTTTAAAGCAAAGGTACGAGCTGGATCCTCCATTGTTAGCTCATCTCTTGGAGCTTTATTGAGCAAAAGTTGATTTTCTACCTCTTTTTGAAAGTAGAGAAATTCTCTTGTTATCAGTTTCATCATTCTTTTTAGTTACCTCTTCTGCATATATTATCATTGTATCAAGATTGGCTAGGTTTTCAGTATTCTCTTTGGGGGTTTCTTCCTGGTTTGAAACAGGAATGTTTTCTTTTGAAAGTTCTTCTTGTACTTCAGTTATTGTTGGTTCCTCCTGCAAAGGTCTTTTGTAGTGGGCTACTTATTGATCTCTCATCTCTTGTTTTTCTAACTTCTTTTCTAAATTTACAATAATGATCCCAAAGTCTAAGTGATTCTTGGAGTTGTTTACATTCTCTCTTAATATGATCCTCTTGATCACAGAAGAAGCAAATTTTCAGAGCTGATTTCCATTCTGTAGTAACCTTATTGTCACCGACCTGGATAAAGCGTAAGATTTTAGTTTCTAGATTTGGATTGTCTGTGTTTTTAAAAATGATGATCTATTGGTCTGTTAAATAAGGAGTGTCTTCAATCAGAAGAAGTTTGATAGAGGAGATATTGCCTATGTCTTCAAAAGCCTCTTTGATGAAGGCAGAGATTTGGTTTTTGTTACCAAGTGACACATTTCTAATTTTGACTAGTAAGAAGGATTTGCAAGCATCTGTTGAGATGTATCTATAGTAGGTTCTGCCTAAAATTATTACCCATTACTAGCATATTCTTTGAGTAGGTTTTGATTTGCAAAAATAATTTCTAAATGAGAGCAGGCATCTTTTTTAAGATGTTGCTTAGCAGCAATGACTTTGTCTTTAATATTTTCAAAAGTAAGGACATTATTTTATTAAAAGAACAATGAATTCTTGAGATATCAATAATTAGAGCATTATTGTTCTTGGATTTAATTTTCTCTCTTGAAGAGAATGTTGAAAAGGTAGATTGGCCTCCTTTTAACTTTGAGAAGAGATTAGACTACTGTTTAAGTAAAGCTTTATCCCAAGTGGCTTCTTGTTTTAGTTCGTTAGTTAAAACATGTATATATGGGTTCACAGGAGGTTCTGGACTTTTAGATGGCATTTCCACGTGACTTGATGATGCAGAACTTTCTGGAACCTTTTTAGACATATGCGTCGCTTTGTTGTTTTGTTTACCCAGTTCCGTTTTTTGTAAAGACTTGTTCGAATTCAGCCAAGGGTTTTCTTGAGATATAATATCATTCCAATTTTCCTTGCTAGTAGCTAACTCATGTTTCTTTGTATTTTTAGTGGGTTTGTGAGCAAAATGCTTGAGTTTGGTTCAGTTTCTGTAAGTTGAAGACCGAAAGAGTCTTTAACCTTGACTTCTTTATTAGAAGAATTTATAATTTTGTATTTTTTACTTGGTTGTTCTTGAAGTAAAGCTTTTGTGGTCTTTCTTTTTGCTAGAACAAGGGCTTTAGCCCTTGTTATTGTTGAACTGTTTGAGGTTTTACTTCTAGATATATTGGGTATTTTGTCTGTTTAATATTTTACTCCCTCTGCTTTATATATACAGGAGAGAGTTACTATAGATTATATTTTCTATATTTTTATTAATAAAAATATAGAAAATTTATTATAAATTAAATTTTTACTAATATAATATAACTTTGAGTTCTAAGTAAACTTGTTTAGCACCAGAAACTATTTGCTTTTTTGATGAAAATTTAACAAATTTATGCATCTTTACTTTATAAATTATGAAAAGTAAAAAAAAAAAACATATGCTATAATAATGTATTTTTTGGTGCTAAACAAGTTTACTTAGAACTTAAAATTATATTTTATTAGTAAAAATTTAGTTTATGATAAATTTTCTATATTTTTATTAATAAAAATATAGAAAATCTATTATAAACTAAATTTTTACTAATAAATAAGCCTATACATTCTAAGTAAACTTGTTCAGTACCAAAAATCACATTATTATAGTATATATTTTCTTTACTTTTCATAATTTATAAAGTGAGAATGCATATATTTGATAAATTTTTATCAAAAAAGCAATTTTACACATTTTCATTTACAAATTAAGAAAAATAAAGCAAATGTATGTCATAATAATGTAGTTTCTAGTGCTGAACAAGTTTACTTAGAACTCAAAATTATATTATATTAGTAAAAATTTAGTTTATGATAAATTTTCTATATTTTTATTAATAAAAATATAAAACTTCCTATATTTCTTAAATGTTTACTAATAATATATACTTTTAAGTTCTAAGTAAACTTGTTTAATGCAAAAAAATACATTATTCCAGTATGTATTTGTATCTTATAGGTTTATTAAAGACTCAAAGTAATAATAAATTAGTAAAACTATATATATATATATTTTTTTTTAATATTAAGGTGACCACTTAGGCCCTTGGCACTTTATTAGTACAAGCGGTAGGCCAATGTTAATTT